TTCTATTTTCTTATCCCTTCTTTCTTTTCCTCCTCCCCCTCCCTTGTTCCCCTTCTTATTTGCCCATTTTCTTCCCATTTCCCAATACCTATTACACATTTTGGTCCTTATTTCCACTTTCAGTTTTTCACACCAGAAAAGCAATGTGGCATTTAAATACGTGTGTCCAATTTATTTCACTTAAGAGTATGGTCTCAAGGTGCATCCATTTAGCTAAAAGTGACTCAAGCTCATCCTTCTTTATGGCAGAGTAGTACTCCATTGTTTTTTGTTGTTGTTGTTTGTTTGTTTTGGTACTGGGGATCGAATTTGGGTCTTTCGAGGCTGGCGGCAGAACCACCAAACTAAATCCCCAGCAGTACTCCATTGTAAAAAAAACCCCACATCTTTATCCATTCATCAGTTGATGGGAATTTGGGCTGTTTACAAGACTTAGCTATTACAAACTGTGCGGCTATAAAATGGGTATGCATATATTGCTGTGGTAAGAAGGGGAATATCTGGGTTAAAAGAAACCTCTACTTTCAGGTTTGTTTATTTGTTTTTTTTGGTATCAGGGATCGAATTTAGGACCTCACACTTTCCAGCCAGGCTCAGGCACTGTGACGCCCAGCTAAATCCCCGGCCCCTAGTTTCAGTAGTCCCCACCCCCATCCTGGGGATCAAACTGCAGACCTCGCACTTTCGAGGCAGGCAGGGCACCACTGAACTAAATCCCTGGCCCTTCTAGTTTTTTGATAAGTCTTTACACTGATTTCCACAGTGGCTGCACCAGTCTACACTCCCACCAACAGTGGAGAAGGGTTCCTTTTTCCCCACAGCCCGCCAGCATTTGTTGTTTTGTTTGTTTGTTTGTTTTGTTTTTGGAGGCAGGGTCTGACTAGTTCAGGCTGACCTTAAACACACTATGTAGCCCAGGCTGGTCCATTCTCCCCGTGCTGGGATTTGCCCAGCATTGGTTGATTTCTTGATAATAGCCATTCTTTCTGGGGTGAGATGGAATCTCAGCCTTGCTTTAATTTCATCTCAAATGATCAGTGATATTGAACATTTTTAAATATATTTATTTGCTGTTTCTACTTCTCCATCTGAGGAGTGTCTGTTCATTTCAGATACCCATTTTTAGGTTGGGTCTTTTGAGTTGGGGAGTCTGATTTTTTTTTTTTTAGTTCTTTATATATGCTAGATAGCAGTCCTTTGAGGAACAGCTGGCAACAATGTTTTCCCACACTGTGGGTTGTTGTCTGTTCACTCTGTTGGTGGTTTCCTTTTCTATGCAAAAGCTTTTTTGTTTCTTTGTTTTGTTTTTTTTGTTTGTTTTGTTTTTTGGTATGGGGATTGAACTCAGGACCTTGTGGTTGCAAGGCAGGCGCAGTGCCGCTGAGCTAAATCCCTGGCCCTGCAAAAGCTTTTGAATGAGATCCCAGGTTTTGATTTTTTTGTTTTGTTTTGGTATCAGGGATCCAACTCGGGATCTTGCACTTGCAAGGCAGGCAGCGGCACCACTGAGCTAAATCCCCGGCCCTTGATTTTAGTTTAGTGCATGGTGAAGGATATGGGTCTAGCTTTAGTCTTTGGTAAGAGGAAACCCAGTTTTTCCAACATCACTTTTTTTTTTCTCACCAGGGATCGAATTTAGGATCTTTCGGTTGCCTGGCAGAGCTGGTGCCACTGAGCTAAATCCCTGGCCCCTCCAGCACCATTTATTAAAGAGGCTATATTCTAGTGAAAGTGTTTGGCTCCTTTGTCAAAGATAAGGTAGGTTGCTGAATATTTCTGAAGTTGTTTCTGTGTCTTCTAATCTGTTCATTGATCCTCACAGTAGTTTTGTAGTATAATTTCAAGTCTCAGGGATTGTGATGCCTCCTGCCTTGCCTTTGTTGCCCAGAATTGCTTTTTCTATTTTAGGTCTCTTCTGGTTCCAAATGAATTTTAGGATTGTTTTCTCTAGTTCTGTGAGATATGCTGTTGATATTTTGATTGGGATTGCATTAAATCTGTTTAACAGTTTTGGAAGTATGGCCATTTTCACTATACTGGTTCTTCCTACCTAAGAACAAGGGATAGCTTTCCATTTTCTGATATCCTCTTCAATTTCCTTTTTCAGAGTACTGTAGGGTAGGGCTGAGGATTCAGCTCAGTGATTCCGGCACCTGCCTTGCAAGCACAAGGTCCCGAGTTTGATCCCTGGTACCAAAAAAAAAAAAACCATAATAATAATAATAGAGTACTGTAGGGTCTTTTTGTTTGTTTGTACTAAGGATTGAACTCAAGACCTTATGGCTCGCAAGGCAGGCGAGGTGCCCCTGAGCTAAATCCCCGGCCCCAGAGTACTGTAGTTTTCAATGTAGAGGTCTTTTACTTCCTTCGTTAGATTGATTCCTAGGTATTTCATTTTTTTTTGGATGCTATTGTGAAAGGTCTTTTTGTAATTTCTCAGTGAGTTTTGTGTACAGGAATACTATTGATTTTTGACTGTTGACTTTGCTACATTACTGAATTTGGTTATTAAATCTAGAAGTCTTTTGGTGGAGTTCTTGAGGTCTTCTAGAGTATCATGTCATCTGCAAGCAATGATAATTTAATTTCATTCCTATCCTTACTCCTTTTAGTTCTCTTATCTAATTACTCTGGGTAATGTTTCTAGAACTATATTTAATAAAAGCGGTGACAGTGGATATGCTTGTCTTTTTTTTTTGTACTGGGGATTGAACCCGGGACCTTGCGCTTTCAAGGCAGATGGCAGAACCACTGAGCTAAATCCCGGGTCCATCTTGTTCCTGATTTTAGAGTGAAAGCTTTCAGTTTCTGTCTATTTAGTATGATGTTGGCTGTTAGTGTGTCATAGATGGCTTTTATCAGATTTCAATAAAAGACCATCTGTTCCAATTTCCTGCAGGGCTTTATGGGTATTGGACTTTGTGAAACCCTTTTTCTGCATCTATTGAGATCCTCATGGTTTTTGTTCTTGGCTCTGTTAATATAGTATATTACATTTATTGATTTGCATATGTTGAACCATCCCTGTATGCCTGGGATGAATCCTACTTCTCATGGTGTATAATTTTTTTTTTTTTTTTTTTTTTTTTTGGTACCAGGGATTGAACTCAGGACTTTGCACTTGTGAGGCAGGCAGCGGAACCACTGAGCTAAATCTCTGGTCCCTGGTGTATAATATTGGTGGTTTGCTGCATTCTATTTGCCAGTGTCTTACTGAAGATTTTTTTTCTTCCTTACTGAAGATTTTTGCCTCTATGTTTATTAAGGAGATTGGCCTGTAGTTCCCTTTTTTGGTTGGATCCTTCTCTGGTTTTGGTATCAGGGTAATCCTTGCTTCCAGGAATGAATTTTGGGAGTATTGCTTCTTTTTCAATTTCATTAAAGAGTTTGACAAGTAGCAGCATTACATCCTCTCTAAAGTTTTTGTAGAATTCAGCAGTGAATCTGGCAGGGCCTGGGCTTTTCTTTGCTGATAGATTTTTAATTCAATTTCATTGACTGATACTGGGTTATTTAGAATTTTTATATCTTCTTGATTCAGCTTTGGTAATTCTTGTATAACTAGGAATCTGTCCATTTCTTCTGTTTTCCATCTTATTAGAATACAGGTTCTCAAAGTTGTAGGTGTTGATGATCTTCTGGATCTCTGCAAAATCTGTTGTGATTTCACCCTTTTCATTCCTAATTGCATGGATTTGAGTCTTTTCTTTCCTTTTTTGGATAAGGTTGGCTAAGGGTTTGTCAATTTCATTTAATTTTTCAAAGAACCAACTCTTCGATTCGTTGATTCTTTCATGTTCTTAGTCTCCACACTTGATCTAACCCAAAAGACGGAGAAGAGATTGTTTTCTTAGTCTCTATTACATTAATTTCTGCTCTAATCTTTACACTTTCCTCTCTCATATGAGCTTTGGGCTCAACTTGCTTTTCTTTTTCTAGAAAGTTGACGTTCAACATTAGGTTTTTTATTTGAGCTCCCTCTATTTTTCTGATACAGTAATTCACCGCTATATATTTCCCTCCTAGGACTGCTTTCATTGTGTTCCTTAAGTTCCTGTATGTTGCATTGGCATTACAGTTTAATTATAGAAACTGTCCTCTAGTTCATTCACATACAATATTTTGACTCAGTAGCAGTAAAGACCTGCTTCTTACAGTAAGACAGAAACAAGACAAGCTAGTTCAGAAACAAACTGAATGTGTGACTTCTCAAATGGAATCTATTTTGTAACTCAGGCAATGATTTCTGGCGGTGACTGAGTATTCCTTTAGTGTTGTATTTGTGCCATTCATTGTCCCATTCATATTTCTTTGCTGTTAGATATACTTGTCTTCAAAAAAAAATTACTAAAATGTCACTTTTATACTTTTTTTAATAAAGTATAGTTGTTGGGTTCTCTGTAATTTGTGAAATTAAGTGTTTTAAAAAATATTTCTATAATGTTAATGGGGGAAATTTGGCAATAAACTTAATTTATATGAATCCTCTTTAATCACTTTTTTGTATTGCAGATAGATATGACCATTAAGATAATGCAAAAATGTAAAAAAACAAAATGTGGATTTTTTTCTATATGTGGAACTGCCTAGAGTAAGGTTATTTGCAAGTAACAGCTATAACCCAAGTCTGACAAGCCTTAACTCCCATCCCCTAAAAGGAATTTATAGGAAGGACTACAATCAGGGATATAGGGTTCTCAATTTTAGGAATTAGCGAACAGACTTTTTAGGGGGCTGCTTTGGTGCCCTTTGGTAGTGGCTGTAACCATTACAATCTTGTATCATCTTCTCAAGGTTAATACTCAGGAGATTACCATTTTTCTTGGAAGGAGAAAGATTCCTAAAAGAGCGATATTGGATATGTTTATTTTTATTCAGTGACTGGTTTGTGCTAAGGGAATTTTAATGCTACTTTAAGCAGAAAATTAGCAATCTGGAAGCCAATTCACTTAAAATGGAGACGTGGATGTATCTTTTTGAGGACTAGGAAGATAAACACATTTGCCAATATAAAACAATGTTTATTCCAACTGAAGAAGCTTTGGTTCATGCTAAGTCGGCTCTGTCTTCTTAAAAACAGATGTTCACTGGTATTTAAAAGGCTTTTTCTTTCTTTTTTTTTATAGTGGTAGATATCAAATCCAAGGCCTTACATATGACAGGCAAGTTCTGTACTACTGAACCACACTCCTAACCCCTAGAAGACTTCTATTAGCAACATTTATAAGAAATTACAGACCTGAATAGAACTGCTGGCAGAGGAGGATGGCTGTAGTGATACAACGTAGCATATCCTACTCATCTTACCTAATTGATTTTATGTTATCAAATCAAGTCACACAAAATATACTTTACCCACACAAACACATGGAAGAAATGTTTAAACTCCAAATTATGGTTTAGCTACTACATTTTATAAAAAGATCCTAACAATGTCTCTACAAGTAATTTCTTGTAATTAAAATGTATCCAGTCCCTGAGTTCACATAGTAAGTTACCAGCATATATCAACTAAAAGGTAAGCATGAAGTATGCTCTCTGGGAGTAGTTATTAACCATATTGTCAAAAAACATGTTTACCTTTAGTGTCTATTTGTTCAAAACTAGCCATGACTTTTAAAAAATTAGGATCTGTCCCGTCTCAACTATTTGATGAAAACATCAGATCATCTCTGTTATAAGGATAGTTTCTTGGAGAATGACACAGTAAGAAACCTCAAACCAGAGTTTATATTGTCATCCTTTACCTGCATTATACCATAATTTTTTGAATTTAAAAAGACTTAAGTTTACAAATATGTAATTAAGTACCTTTTGGCCATAAAACTCACATGACTTGTAAGCAGAAAGATTAAGCAAGCTGGGTGTGATGGTGTGCACCTGTACTTTTAGCTACTCAGGAGGCTGAGGAAAAAGGATTTCTTGTGCCCAGGAGTTTGAGGCCAGCCTGAGTAACAAAGGTAACACAGACTGTTTCAATAAAACAAAAACCAAAAAGGATTAATAAGTCACTTAAACTCAGTAAAATATACTAGCACAAAATAATAGTTTGTATTATAATCTGAACAGCAAAGCACCTATAAACAAGTAATTGAATTTACTTAGCATTTTAATCTCTTTCAATAAGAAATCACATTCTACATACAGGTGTTATTCCAAGAAGTTTCATTCCATTGGCTAGGACATAACGGACAGCTTTGAAAAGATGAAGTCTGGCCTACAAAACAAATCAAAAGAATGATTAAACGTTCAGTAACATGCTAGTTTGTGTAAATAAGAATGGTTTTAGAATTCCAACTTTCTTGTAATTTAAAGTAGAAATAATATCTCAAGTTGCCCTAGAGTTTATTATAGGCCAGGAAAGGTATTCATCACTTTTTATAGTAAGACTAGTATAAAAGGGGTTGTGGAATGGGAGAGAGGAACAGTTTATCACTATAATACCTGATGCAGGAAGATAGATTTCAGTCTGGTATTTTGGGAAGAATACAAACATGTATTGTTACAGCCCAGGTCTAATTATTATCTGAGTCAGAAAGTGTTGAACAAGAGAATGTTGTTTTAGATAAATTTACAAGACTGATGGGAATATTCTGTAAAAGTAGTTTTGAGCTGTTAAATATTACAGAGAAGACATTCAGCATAACGTACCCCAGCCACTTCAGGAGGACTATCTTTTATTTGGAGTGTTTTATGTGCCACAGCTGCAAGATGACTGAAACAGGAAGGGAGAATCATGGTGGGGACCAGCAGTAATTTCCTGTTGTAACATATGAACTTGATACATAACCCTACCTCCTCAACTTTTTTTTTTTTGGTACCGGGGATTGAATTTAGGACCTTGCGCTTGGGAGGCAGTCGGCAGCACCATTGAGCAAAGTCTCCAGCCCCCCTGACCTCCTTAACTTTAAGTCCAGAACCACTGAAGGAAGTATACAAAACTGTGAAGTTGAGACTGTTATTCACTGCCTTTTAGGTAATAAGACAAAATACACTAAACTGAAACTTTAGGTTTTGGTGCTGGTTCTGCAGATTCTTAAGATTATGATTTCATTGTTACCAAGTATAGAATATTCCTCTCTAACAATTCATTTGTCCTTATTTAGACAGCATTTAAAAGTATAGCATGGCATGGTGAGGAGGTACGATATGAACTAGTTATCAATTCACTCCACATACACACTAGGCATTCTTTAAAGTGCCTTCTTTGTTTAGGTATGGCAGCAAGTAGAACAACATGTGAGTGAAATAGGACATTCATTTAATGATTAAGTGACATTTCTTAAGATTTTCTGGTGTTTTCACTTCTCTGTGTCTAAGTAGAACTTGAAGAAAAAAATCATGTATCTGAGAGAGGCAGGGTAAAAAACATAACAAGCCAGGCCTGGTGACACATGCCTATAGTGCCAACACTGGGAGGCTGAGCCGGGAGGATTGTAAGTGAGCCTAGCCTGGGCAAGTTAGTGGCTTAGCAAGACTTCATTTCAAAAATAAAAAGAGCTGGGGATGTAGCTCAGTGTGAAGGTCCTGGGCACAGTGCCCAGTGCCAAAAAAAAATGTTTGATTTTAGTAAAACTTGAGTAAAAGCAACATTTCCTGTCTTAAATAGCTTTATGGGAAGATAAAACCGTTTCTACATAAGAGTAGGCTAAACTATTAAAAGCTAAAACTATAAAATTTCTACTAAAGTGACACTGATTCACTTCCCCATTCCCTTTCTACCCTTTGCTGACTGACTGTTCTGTTTCTGCTAAGAACTCTTCTATGGACTCCACTGCCCTGAAAAGTAGTCTAACTGGCAAAAAAGCCCATATCCGTGTCCTTTCTCATTCCCTCCCAGGACTATGCTTCCTCCTTCCCAGCTGCTTGCTTCTGATTATTATCTGTTTTCCTCTGAGCAGCTCTCTCTAGTCCTGTCAGGCTACACTGGGCTGATGTCATCTCTTACGTTCACTCTGTCACAGTTCATGTGCACTGTGCTTGACTTCTATGTCATTGTTGGTTCCTGGTCACTCGATTATAGTTAATACCTTACATCACTGAATTAATAAATAAAAATTACTAATTGGCCAAGATGAAACAATCCCTATAATTTAAAGCACATTAATTTTTAGGACAAGGGACTTGTTTATGGGAAAACTTTGAATTAAAAAAAGATTTCTTGTCGGCTCTGGTATCAAATTAATACCTGAAAATAGGAAAATTATAAAAGTACCTTAGAGTTAGCATGTAACTAACAATGTGCCTGGGTTGAAGGTCCTGAGATGATCTATAAAGCACCTCATCAAACCTAAAAGAAAGATTAGAAGCAGCTGGCAGAGAGATGTTCACACTTTACAATAAGCTAAGATGTTAAAACACCTTGGATGTGAGACTGACATCACAAAGAGTAGAAGTCATATGAAAAAGGACCTGTGTATATCTGAAAGCAATTACGTAGTTTTCTTTCTTACAAATTCCTTGATGGCAGGAACTTTCTAAATTATCTTAATATCCCATAGTCCAGAGCAAAGACTTAAATCATGGCTCTTAAAACGAATGTACAAAGCCGGTAGCCATGTTAAGAAACGTAATCTATAAACCAATAAAGCCCCTTCAAGGCTAAGAAAATCAGGTTGGTTTATTTTCCCCTTCTAATTAGCTATCTGTGAGTAAATGTTTCTGATGCCTAGAAAGAACCACTGACTGCTGTGCAGCAGTCAGAGAAAACTGCCTTGTTTATAACCACCTGCATCCCTTCTGGACACTAATTTACTGACAAGCCTTCACCAACACTTATGTGAACAAAACCTCTGGTCTCTTGCCCAATATGAAAGCATCATACCGAAGGATGTACTGTATTTGAGACCATGAGGCAAGTGAGGGATTCTCTGGGAAGCTGCTCAAAGGCAGGGATTTTCCTTCACTTATCACAAGTGAGATGTTCTTTTCCAACCAAAAGGTGTGCCTTTACCAGGTGTTATGGTTTGGGTCTAGATGTCCCCTCAAAGCCTCATGTGGTCATAGGCTTGATCTAGAGTGTGTGAAGCTGGAATTGATTCATGATGCAATTGTAGGCTCAAGGACACTAGGATTAAGGGTGTGAGTGGTACCCACCCTGAGTAGTCTGAATAAGATAAAAGGGGCAGGGAGATGCTGTTAACTTTCTAGTTGCCTTTGCTGCCTTGTATGCACCATGTTGTTTCTGCTCTGCATACCTGTTTGCCATCCCTGCCTTGGAGCTGGCTAATTATGAACTGAAACCTCTACAAACTGTAAGCCAAATAAACCCCTTCCCCTCTAACTTTTTTTTTTTTTTTTTGGTACCAGAGATCGAACTCAGGTCCTTGTGCTTGGACGGCACGTGGCGAAACCACTGAGCTAAATCCCCGGCCCCTTCCCCTCTAAGTTTGAGTGTCAGGTATTTTGTCTCAGCAACAAAAGAAAAGTAACTAACACACCAGGCTTTATCTTCCCAGACAATGGAGTAGAGTATGCTAGACATCTGCATAATTCAATGGTGACAGTATTTTTAAGACTTAAAGACTGACTTTGAGTATTGGCTTAATATGTGCACTTCCAAAAGGCACTTTCCCAAAAGGCAGACACTTTAGGACATATCTTTAGGAAAGATCTAGATTCTAGAGGTAGGAGGCAGCCCCTGGCCAGCAAAGCTAACCAACCAATAAATCAGTACGCGTGAAGCAGACTTGGTAGTAACAGAAAAACTCCATACCTGAGAAGATGCTGGAGAACTGAAACAGACTGTGGCTCTTGTAAACAAGCAGTGTTGAAGTCATTCAGATAACCGCATCCAAAAGTCTCTTCCAAACTGTCAGTAAAAACCGAAGTCATACAGAGGCACATAGTTGCAGGTGATGAACATTACCTCATAATATACAGTCTTGGTCTCCTTAATATAAATCTGGACTTTGATGCCAAGTGTTGTGCCTGAGTCCTCAATTTTTCCTAAATTTTTTTTCTTTATAAAATATAGGTAACAGGACTGGCAGGATTATTCTGAGGACTAAATAAGGTAATATACATAAAAGCATTTCTTACTTAAGTAAATAAATACTTTAAAACCACAATAGGAAATTTGTGCTTTTTTAAGTTTTGAAAAGGAGATGTTGAAGAACCCCGGAAAACAGGGCCTGCCATTTGTCTTAGGAACACACCAACCACATCCCAGTCTACAGAAGAATAGCAGCATATTTCCCTGCAGCCTATTCTCACCTGTGGAGGCGGGCATGTGTGTACTGTAGGAAGACTCCTGTGTCCCCGCGACTCTGGAAAACACGATCCCAGCTGAACTGATAGTCAGATAAGAGCAAACCTCTGAAGTCCTAAAATGACAGAGTAAATCTTCAGTCCTGGGATTTGTTCTTCTACCAGACAAAAAAATTTCATAAAAAGGAGTCTTAACAGACCTGAATAATAAGTGCCGCAAGCCCGACCCTCTCTGCAGTTTCCTGTGGGTTCTCAAGTTCTTTGGTTGCTGAAACAGATAAAGGCAGCTATATTTTAAACTGCATGACACTGTGCCAAATCACAGATCAAAGTGGAGACAAAAATCTGCCAAAAATATGTGTTGACAAGAACAAACAAGTTCAAAGTTTGCACTTTACTTCACTAATTTAGGTGAATTTATGTGCTAAAATGCATTGACCCTGCTTACATTAAAGGGAAGAAATATAAATTTATTTTTCTTACAAGTATTCCTTGTTAAGACATTAGATATAGCTGACACCTATTTTTTCAAGGATGAAGGTTAAACAAAGACATGAACTTGAAACTTATATCCAATTTATAACACAGGACTCTCACATGATGACTCAGATTACAGAAGGATGACACCAAAGCTATCTATGAAAAGAACACCAAGGTTATATGAATTCAGGTTAATAAAGTGAATAAGTGTGCAGTACATCTAAAAACTCTGGCACCTAAAATTAATGAAAGTTACTTGACGCACTGACAGTTCAGTGGGGGAACAGTTATAACAAATCACACTGCCCAAAAGCAAAAAAACAAAAACCTGTGAAGCATGACTTTAACAACAAAAAAGTAGATTTACTCTTTATGGAAGCCATGTTCTGTAGCATCTTTAGTCGAATCTCATTTAAGACATCTTCCAGAAAAGTGACATCTCCTCTGCGGGTCTTCATTCCCTGCACGACTCCAAAGGGCACATGCTGGCACCTGCAAAGGAAGAGCATTCTGTCAACCTAAAGCTACAAAAGAGCTAGAGATCTGAGTACATCATATTACTCTTTCAGAGTAGTTTGAACTTTAACCCTTGTAGCAGGTTTAAAAAATGAATAAAATGAAATGAGACGTGAGATCTGTTGTATGCCACAAAATATATTAAGCACAACTTCATTTTTCTGATAAGCACTAGCATGTGATTAAACTACTGAGCTCCTTAATGAGGAAAAGGAGATGGGGATTAGTAATTTTGAAAGACAGTGAGAGGAGATGTCTAATAAAAACACATTTATCAGGACATATATTAATACAAAAATTGAATCTGCTTTTTCCATACTCACATCTTGAAACAAAGCACTGCAGTCTGAATGAAAATCTCTCTAGATACATTTTTGGGCTTGGCTGACCTAATTTAGTGTCAGTGACCCTGAGCAGGCAATTAAGAATCATGAGACATTACCTTTCTGCCCAGTCATATCCCATGATCTTCAGCATTTGGAACAGTTGCTGAAAATGCTTTTGTTGCCCTTTATCTGCCTTGGAAAGAAAGTATTTAAAATAAAAAATAGTGGTAAGTTAATATATAAAAATAGGTTGGAGCTCAATCAAATTGACAGAGTTTTGACAGACTAAGGTGTTTGTCAGTCAATATCCTTTAAACACAAAAATAGAATGTCATAAGTTGAATGCTCTACAAAAGAGGAAAATAAAAGTTGCAGTATGCCACCAAGTAGGAAGATATACGCACTTTAGTCTTCCGAATATTCTATTTAAAGTTTTCCTTTTTCAGTTAATATGGCATCTATCTCCAAGAAGACCAGTCTAGCTTCAAAACGATGTTTGATGGCAACTTTCTTAGTAAAAAGGGAGGCTTAATCAGAAAAAGGAAAGGGAAGGAAAAACTAAAATCTTCTCAACAATAAAAGGAGCAATACTGACACAACAGCTTGGACACATTTCTAGGACATTCACTACAGTAGGTGAAAACAGCCAATCTCGTAAGGTTATATATTGTATAGTCCATCTGTGCAACCCTGTCAAAATGATAAAATTTGTGATGAAGAACAAATAGGGTTAGGATTGGAGGAAAGGTATGATTACTAAGTGAATGACCATGAGGGAGTGTTGTATGTGAAAGAACAGTTCTATCTTCTGAATGTGGTAATGGTTACATGAAACTATACATGTGATAAAATTTCATTTAAGAAGTCTACAAGAAAGTGCATGCAAAATCTGAAGAAATTTTTAATAAGGTCTCTAGAAATACCAATTTCCTGATACTGACAAAATACTCTGGTTTTACATTGTCTTTGGGAGCAGCTGAGGGAAGGTAAATGGAAACACTAATATTTTGAGTCTTAAGATATTTTGAAATAAAAATTCTTTGAAAATATTTCAGTTACCATGACCAGTACACGTTAAATTCATATACTTATCATTTTCCTGATTATAAAGCAATGGGAACTTTTTCATTTCAAAAATTTTTCTTTTTCATTTTTAAAACTTTTTTTTTATACAGAGGTTACTACCTTACATACACTTAATGTTGAATTCTCTACTTAGTTTGACAAAAGTACTTTTAAATAGTTTTCCACTATGGTTTCCAATTTTTATCTCTGCAATCTGCATGAGGTAGGGGTCAAAACTTTTGTTCTTTATTGTGATTACTTACCACATAAATCATTGTATCAAAATTATACCTGTCCATTCGATCTATAGCAGCTGCAAGGTCTCTAAAAAATGGCATAAATCAAGAGTTGTTATACAGATCTGGGTAATAATTAGTTTTACCTATTTAATAATAATGAGAATTTTCTATTTAAGAACTCCTATGTTATCCCATAGCTGGGGCTGTATAGTCCCAATACATACTCTGATACAAAATAATAGTAACAAAGGTAGGTTTGTGAAAAGCAGTAATAATTAAAGCTCTGGGAAATACAATTGAAAACAAAAATTTCAAAAGATCTAAGACAAGTAGTAGTGAAAGCTAAAATAGTTCTAAGCAAGGGATCCTGTAGGTAAATGTATTATGACTAAGCTCTTACTGAAAAGAATCACTTGTCACTTTTCTGTAATACGTTTTCTTAAATAACATACGAAAAATATAGGTATTGTACTAGATAAAGAGGCATCTTCTAGCTATTCTTCTATTAACTCTATCAAGGACTTTCAAAATCTTGGATTACTCAGAAGCCACCCCTCTAGTACATTTTAAAAGATTTTTTTTGAATGGAGGAGGAGGTTTGAAGCCAGGGCTTTGGCATGCTATTGCAAGTGCTCTACAACTGAACTACATTCCTAGCCCTCTACTACATTTTAAAAACCTATATATCCTTAGATAAATATTCCATTTACCTCTTTTATCTCTAATCAAATACAAAATACCCAATAATACATAATATAGAATAATGAAAAACCACAACTATGAAAATTTAAGATTTTTAAACACTTAAGCACCCACGTTTATAGCAGCACAGTTTGTAATAGCTAAAGCTTGGAAACAGCCCAAGTGCCCATCAACTGGAAACTGGATAAAGAAGATATGGGTTTTT